AGAGACATTTTACGACCTCCGCGTAACTCCCAAGCACATTTCAAGTCATATGGATAATTTTCTGGAAAATTAGGAGATTCGATGATGCCCTGCAAACTATTAATGATTACGTTGCAATTCGTTACATAATTCAGTACAAATTTAAGTCCATCTCCATCAGCACTATAACGTACATGTACTTTGTTTGATGTTGACTGCAATGTTAACACATCTCCGAAATTTGTGCAGTTTAGCTTGAGTGTGGGACTATTTGTTAAGGGACCATCATAAATTGTTAAACTATTTTGCCTACATAAGGCACTTGGATTATTAGAAGTGAGATTAAGATTTATAACGGAACCGGGTGAAACGGTTATACTCCAACTACACACCACTTCACCAGATATTTCCGCATTATGTGGCGAATGTATGGAACCTGAGAATGAATCTAGTTTGCCTCCGCAACCAGTACTTGTTTGCTGCCAAACAATATTGAACCCTTTATCAGAAATATACCAATCCGATACAAAGCGTATATATAACACATTTGTAAAAGATGGTATTCGGTCTGGTATTTTCACTCCACAATATTGACCAATTAGTGGAGAATTACTAAACATGCCATTCCTAGAAAAAATCGAAAAAAATAAATATATAATTTTTCTTTAATTAAGTTCTTTAATATTTAACAGTAATTAAATTTAACAGATAATTAAATTTTGAACAAAAAAATTTTTTTCCAGCTAAAGTACCCAGTCTGCAACCTGATCTGTTTCTGTATTTCGCAGAAAAATGGATTTAAATCGTTTAGGTAAATATGTAGAACATTACGTTACTGCCACCCGGCGCCTAAACTTAATGCCAATCACACAAATGTTGGTACTCGTCTAATGTGTCAGACTAAGGTATAATCCATGTTTGGAGTGATTTCTATATTATAGACAGCCTGACTAACATATGTGTTACAAAGATTTCTTTTTAAATATCTTTGTTGATTTTATGCAGAAGCCTCACCTTTAAAGAGATACTATATATATTACACTAGTCTCTTTATCGTCAAAATAAAATAGTGGAAAGCATATTTTACCTGCTCTCTATTTTGACAAAGCTTCATGCATGATAAGATCTGTCACAGGAGGCGCTCCTGATATACAAAAAAGTATCGTTTATAACTTAGTGGGATACTAATGCAACTAATTTAAAAAATTTTGTTACTTGCTTATTTTGCTTATCACAGATGGAGTTAAAGTCACAAATTTTTAATAATAATTTCTAATATTTTTTTCAAAGGTCATATAATACCCAGGTTAGAGGTGTGTTATTATTGTGACCTGTTACTCCAAGCGATGAAGAACACAAAAACACTAATGACATATTAAGAATATATATAAAGAATGACATATATAAAGAATGGGTGTTAAAGTACAGAAATGATCGAGAAGAAAAATTTAAGAAATTCAATATCAAGATAATTATGATAATTTTGTACGTAGTGCGTATTTTAAAAGACAACCTTGCGAGATGTAGAGCTGCAGTTTAGAGCATATAAGAAAGACGAACTAAAATATTACAATCCTATACCATCGTCTTTTGTCCTATAAGAGCTTTCGATTATCTCGAACAGTAAACAACCTGATTATAATAAAAGTTAGGTCTCGAAAATGATATAGTGTTTATGCTTCACGTTTAGAGTAAAAGAAACTGGAAAATTAAAATTCTATGAGATTACTATTATCTCTCTGTATTTTCGGATAACATATATACTTTTCACAAATGAATTTACCAACACGTGTACTTGTCAACAGATGGCACACTATAATCATATTTTTGGGCATAATATAGCCACAAAATGTCCAAATGTTAAGTCAAAATGTGACAAACAGAAACATGAAAGGTTTAAACTAATTAATATGTTTTGACTTCTGTTCTTAAACAATGTATATCACTCAAAAACAATGCCTGACAAAAAAATTACCAAATAATGGATTCACGAATTGCTATCTTCAAGTTGCATCAGTGAATATATCACTAATGTACGTTATACATTAGCGTACATTAGTGATATATTTTGAAAATTTATATTTACTTTTGAAAGTATCTTATACGAATTGTCTGAAAGTAATTAACATTTTTAATAGCAAAGTTTTGTTTAAATTTTAAGTAATAATTATTTCACCTTATCTCTAAGAAATCATCATCGCATACAGTCGAAACTTGCTCCAAACCGAATTCCTTAGGCACAAGTTCTATTGTGTGACCGAGTGGCGCCATTATAATCCATACACAATCCAAGTCATTACCGTAAGGCATTGGCCAACCAGGTGACGTAAGTACACCGAACCTTGTACTGAAATTTCCACCACAGTCTAAAATAATGTGAAAAATCAGTGAGATTTAATTAAAAGGTCTTATTTTTATTACATCCAACTTACTTTCCGCACTATCCACTAAAGTATAATTGAAAGATATATACGCCGGAAAGTAGTCAGAAGAATTAGTTAAGCCATTAACAGACTTTATTGTCAATACACTCGTGTGAAACACTTCATTCAAATAAATATTTTGAGAGTAACTGTGGATTAATCGTTATGAAAAAACATGATTTTATAGAAACATAGATTACAAATCATAGTTCCTACCTAGCCAGAAGCTTTTCGTCTTTGGTATCAGGTAGTTTTGAATGCAAGGAAAGACTGAAGTTATTGGCATTTTGTGGTGGTGTGTAGGTTAGAGTCAAAGATATGTGTTTATTTTCTGGTGCTTCAATAATCCATTCACAATAAGAGACGTCACTGAGCTTCTCGTTGCTTTCGTAACTGTTACGTGATTCCGTGAAAATTCCACCACAACGCACAGTTTCAAAAGAATATTCTATTTTTAATCCTCTCGCCCTACGACTATTTTCTGCCGTTTTGAAAATAATACGCAAGTGATTTTGGCTGGATACCAATGGTTCTGGAGTAGCATTCTTATAAAATCGACGTTTACTTATCTTAGATAGATAAACCTTAAAATGCAAATAAAAATAAACATTCAAAATGTTTTCCTTAAGACTTAAATACGTGTTGGTGAAGTTTCCAACTATTGTTTACATTTTTTACAAACCTCAACAAAATTAAGATTTTCATCAACATCACTGTCGTTAAGTTGCTTCAATTTCACATTGTGGCCATCTTCATCCAGAAGCGTTGGCACACTTTCAGATATTTGAAAATCTGCAAACTTAATATGGATCACACTCCCCAATGGACCATAAATGTCATATGTACAAGTCATATGATCAAAATAGGGGTTAGGATAATTGGGTGTCATAAAAATTCCATCATCAGGACCGAAAAATTTGTCCTCACAAACTTAAAAAAGACATTTGTACTCATAAGTTCTATTTACGCTATATATAACGCACTTACTCCGACTATATCTTGCTTCAAAAGACAATGTGTCAATTTTTAAGCCTACAACCGCGTACTCATACCGTATAAGCAAGTAATTTCCCTCCGATATAATCGGACTCACTGACTTGAAATCACCACATATTCGTTTCTCCAATGGATATTCGTCAGTTTTTCCATTAAAAATCTAAGAATTTATACATGTCTAATGTAACTGCTAATATATGTATTATATATATTATTGACTTACTTCAACTTTTTGCAAATCACAATCATCGCTATCCAATAAATTATAATTTAAAATTTCTAGTTTTATTTTAGTACCTGGGGGCTGCTGTATTAGATAAAGACAAATTTCTGCATTTATGTGGCCGCCGATGGTAGCTC